AGCGGTTCTCCAAGGTGGTGAGAAAGTATCCAAACCCTACTTCATGGTAAAGCTGAATGGCTTACTGGCTATAGTCATACAGCGTGAGAATGTACATATGGACTGTTATTTGTAGGTAGAAATTATTCATTGGGAACCAGAGTTCTCAGAGATGCGTGGTCTTTTCTGTACATTCCCCTCCTGGTTTTGTGTTCTTGTTTGGAATCTTTTGACATGATATATTTTCATGATTTTGGGAGTGGAGAGGTAGCTGAAATTGGAGACCTAGAAGTCTAGGGCACAGCATGAGGTGAGGAAACGTATAAATGAAGCTTCTTTGAAGACTGTAAAGGTAAAAGGTCTTCCGTACGTCTGTATAATCAGAGTGTGAAAGTACGTATGCTACACATCTCGAAGACAGTTAATGGTAATTAGTGTCTCTCTATTTCGGAACTTGAGACGGGATCGCAATGGAAAAATTAAGTTAAAACTATGCATTGAAAGTGCTCTTAATTCAAATGTGTTTTGCAGCCTAAGATGAGTTTAGAAGTTTGCATAGGGAAGTACAACTGTATCTCTCAATGCATCTGCATTTATTTTCCATTAAGATGTTGGGGATGGATATTCGTTGCTTATATGGGGTTATTAATTTTATTTTTTCAAGCAGAATATCTTAATGTAACTAGATTCACGGCAATACACTTAGTGATAGCAAATGCTAGACACTTTAAATAACGTGCAAATGTTTTACTAAAAACTTAAATCTCTGAACAGTGTTATATACATATGTTAATATATTTGTATTCGATTTAGTTGATTCTGGAGGAGCCAATTTACCTCGGCAAGCAGAAGTATTTCCAGATCGAGATCATTTCGGTCGTATTTTTTATAATCAAGCAGTCATGTCCTCACAAGGAATTCCACAGGTAATTTGCTTTTATTTAAGAATGGAATGTACTAACTAGTTTTTGTGCCTGCTGCTTTTGTCTGGCTTCAAGTCTTGAACCTGTGCTTTACATTTTTGACAGCATGGAGTTGTGTTGACCTAGTGGCCCAGTCTGGGGATTGGATGCACTGTAAACACAATGAATGTCCACAAAATGTCATGATAATTTTGAAAAAGGTGTCTTCCTTCTTGGCCTTAGTGTTAAGGGTATGACCTTCCTGCTCCTATCTTGAAGTGGGAGAAAAGAGGAATAGACAGCATGATGTGTAGGGCCATGTGATGAAGCATTAGGAAATCTCTTGGAGCAGCTGATTATTCTGCATCAGTGCTGTAAAGGTGAGGACCCCTTTGATGATGGCTAGTAAATGAGACATACTTTTTGCTGAAAGGGGTGTGTGTGTGTGTGTATATATATATTTATATACCCATTTTATACACTAATGTACTGTTTGCTAAAACTACCCTGACAACGAGGTCATTTTCTAATGTATTAATGATGCATAGAATTGCTGTTAGTCACAGGTCCTGGATTTAGAAGTGTTTCTGTGTCATGGATATTTCGGGAGTCTGTTGGGGACAATTTTTTGATGCAGGTGCTAGGCTGGCCAGCAAGGGAGGTGTTCTGCTGGCTCTGCTACTAATGAGGAGTGTAGAACTAGTTGGAGATGTGATTGCTCGTAGCAGCCTTGGCTGCGGTGAAAATGGATGACGGAGCATAAGATCCTGGAGGGGATGAGGAAGGCAAGCACCAGAACGAAGACCCTGGACTTCAGCGGAGCAGTCTTTGGCTTGTTAAGGGAATTGTTAGGTGGATCTTGTGAGAGGCTGCCAGGGAGGGTGGAGGAGCCCAGGATCTTCACGGATAACCTCCTCCAAGCGCAGGAACGGCCTGATGTGCAGGAAATTGAGCAGACCACCAGAAGCTAGCTGCTTTCTAGCCAGTCAGCTCCTGGCCTCTCTGTATGATTACGTAGCTCTCTCATAGGGGGAGCTCTCTCTTGCTCCCCTTTGCAGGCTGAAGAGTTCTAGCTTACTTAACTGTTCCGCATGCAGAAGGTGTTCCATACGTTGTCTAAACCTTTTCCCAGTCTAACTATGTCTTTTTTGAGATGAAGGAGCTAGAATTTCCTGCAGTATTCGATATATGAGCCAATCATAGATTTATATAATAGCATAATGTTCTTCACCATTCTCTTTTCTGACTCTTCGCCAATAGTTCCTAACACTTATTTTTCTTTTTTTTTTTTTTTTTGACTACTACTGAGCAATGAGCTAGTGTTCTCGCTGAATTGTTTATCTCAATTCCAAGAGCCTGCTCCTGGGTGAAGTTGTCAGCTTGGTGCTCCTTACTTTACATGGGCATGAAGGAAGTTGTCAGGATATTTCACCTGACCAGAAACATTGTTTTCAAATATTAGGCTTAGAAGTAGCTAATGGAACCTTGAGTGGAGTAAAGGTTTAGCTAACTTGTTTCTTCTGAATAACCTTATGGAAATATTTCACCACCAGGTTATTTTGGCATATTTGACTGTTGAACTCCTCCTGAATGTAAGGTAGAAATCAGATTTTGTTTTTTTCATTCTTAACTATACCTGTAGTTTAGAGAGACAGCTTCGCTAGAGCCATTTTCATTTGGATTCTCTGTGACAAGCTAGGCTTGGTTGAATCCCCTAGCCCGAAGGGAAAAAGTGGAAGCGAATACCCCCTTGCAGCGTGGAGGAGATGCACTAGTCAAGGGTACAGTATTCCATCCGATGCTTACTTAGCAGACATTGGCTTTGTTACGGTTTCTGAGGCAACTGCATTTGTGATATCCCTTTGGCACCTTTTGGTGGCATCTCTGTTAGACTTCAGGTCTGTAGCCATTTTTCCTCTTCTGAAGAATCCTGAAATCCACTGTCTCCGGACAAATCTAAGGCTGAAGACTCCCACCATGCACTCTATCTCTTTAATCTGGCATAGTATAGCTTCTGCAGTTCTTTTCTTTTCAGCAACAATGGTGGAGCAATTGTGGTGATTAGCTAGGTATTTTGATGCAAAGTACTGTTCAGCTGGAACAAAAATATGCAGGAGAAACATACTTATGAACTGTAAGCAGCTTATATGCTTGGCTAATTTACAAGCTGCTCTTCCCCTGGAGTCACTGACAAGTCTAGGTTGTATTTCAGATTTATATGTATAAATGTAATTGGTCCCAGCATTTTTGTGGAGCAGCAAGTGAGTGTATTGTTGAAGCAGCTAGTCACATGGCTGTTGTGCTGAATGAACTTCAGGAGAAGTTTTAATGAACCTTGTTTTTACTGAAGACTCTAATCGCTACCTGGTACAGCAATGGTGATTTTAAATGTTGTGTCAGAGAAGAAAACGTAAACCCAATTTGCAGGACTGAAATAACTGAGTTAACGCAGGACCTTGTTAGAAAGTCGGTCCTAAAGTTATGTTGGTATTTTCCTGAATATTTTGAAAAAATATGCATTTATTTGTAAAGTTCTTCGTAAAGTTGAACTTCTTTTTATTTTGACTACCACATGGTATCACAGTAGAATAGCGCTGCAATTCTGTACAACCAAAAAGCAAAACGAAGGTAGGTAGGATTTACCTTTTAACAAAACATAGTTATATTTCTCTTTGGTTATGGCACTGACAAAAATTTAGTTTTCTTTGTTTGACTCTTGACATTTAATTTTTATAATGTATTTATGTAGAAGAGGGGAAAAAAAGTTTTGCTGAAGGGCTTACTTGATTTTAAAAAAGTGTTGTGAGTGTCTGTCTATTTATTTTATTTGAGGAATGTTTCATTCATTTCATTTCAAAAGGTGCTATAAGCATTTGTAAATGTGCTGATCGTTTTATCACCATGCGTTGTGGTGAATAGAATCGTCTTCCCTATCTGAGAAGATGTCGAGTTAGGAAATTATGCTCCCTCTAATTTTCATTCAGGTTAATTCTTCTGACAGGTGAGTTTGGATGTTGTTAGTTTTATATCTGCTGGTTGTGCAGCCTACCTGAATCAGCTTCAGTTTCATCAGCTCACCAGCCCTTTTGAATTCTGACCTTAAATTTTTTTTTTTTTTTCCAGTTACCTGTGCTGCTTTTAATTTCCCCCATCTGCTTTTGCCTGTGACTGATTTATTATACTCCTACTGCAGTTTTAAATTGCACTGATGCCTGCATGGCTGTGAATCAGAAAGCCATGATTAGCTTCCCGTTAACCACTTTTCAAGCTCTCTCACACTCATGTGTTGCATAGATACAATGGGTAATTGAGCGCTATGTGTAAAATACTGTTTCTGTGTATTCAGAAGTGTTGATTTTTATTGCTCTTTTAATTGTCTATGCAGTAATTCACTCAAAGAGTGAAGTTATTAAGTAGCACATTAGTATGAATGTTTGAGGTCATGCTTTTTGACCTCAGCATTTTGATATGTAATGTATATATTGGAAAAAGGTAACATCTAAATTAAAGTTTAAATACAAACGCATTTTTCAACATAAATCGGTAATTAAAGTTACCTCCTTTTTAGAGGCTTACATTGTGCTTTTACCTACCTGGTGATATCTATTAAATGCTCAAAAGACATATTATAGATTAATCTGTAAGAAGTGTGTGATTCTGAGTATACTTCAAGATACTGCAGACTGCTTACTAAAAAAAAACTATGTTTGATCTGATGATATCAGGTTAACAAATCTCATCTATTCCCGCTTCAGATACAGGTAATGTCATTTGGACTTTATTCTGTGCCGCTCTTTGGTATTTCTGTGTGCTATTTTCTTTTAACAGCAAATTTTTATCATTTAAGACAGAAGGCTACTTGATGTCACTTAAAAAAAAAAATCTCCAAATAAAATTTTCACAAAATAACATTATTTTGGGTTTTAGATTTTTTTTTTTGTGGTTGTAAAAGAAAGCAAATTAGACAATTATTTTCTTATTGTCTGCCTCTTCCATGTGAATATTACATCTCAGCTGCTTTACAAGCTGCTTTGAAAGGATCGTTGTTTCCTTGGAACAGCCCTCCTGAAGGAGAAGTTAAGAGAGGATTTCACTTGTATGATCATATGCTGCTCTGTCTGGGATCAAGTCAGTCCTGTATAAGTGTCACCAAAGAATTACTAGTTAAAATGTTCACTGGCTAGATGTTCATCTCACAGTTAGACATACGAGTCAAGCAGGTGTTATTCATGCTAAAGCCTATAGAGAGAGCAGCTAATGCGGTGATTATTAATTGGTCTGTTGAAGAACTGAAGTTACATTGTCCCTCAATTTGAGGAATTGCCTTCAAAGACTGTTGATGCTGATGAAATTGCACTAGTTAACATCGTCTGAGACAGCCTTTTCTTTGCAGAAATAGGTTGAGAAGGTCTAAAAGCATAAATACTCAGAGCAACCTCTAGGTTTCAACCTCCTACAGTTTAGTAGTAATGCAGTTTTCCAAGAAGAATATGTAGACCTCTAAATATTTTACATATATAGCTCATGGTACATCATATGTGAACTCTCTTTGTGCAGGGTGGTCTGAAGACCATAGGTTGAAGATGGATGCAAAGTAGAGAGATTCTGTGGTGTGGGTTTTTTGTTATTTGTTTGTTTTTTCCCCAGTGCTACTCCAGAAAGTGTATTGAAATCACTATGATAGGTAACAGTTGGTCTGTGCATTTCAATTTTAAAAAGTTGGGCAGCTTATTAACTTGTGTTACTGTTTTCCTTATAGATAGCAGTAGTGATGGGATCCTGTACGGCAGGAGGAGCATACGTACCTGCAATGGCAGATGAAAGTATTATTGTTGGCAAACAGGGAACAATATTCTTGGGAGGGCCACCGTTGGTAAGCCTACAAAGATTTTTAGTAACATAGCCAAAAAACCCCTTTGCATTAGTAGCAATTGTATAACTTAAATCTTCAGACTTCTTTGTGAGTTCTTTTCAAATGTTCTGTGGGTTATTTTGCCTTTTTAAAATGTATCTGAACGTTGATGTCCTAAATGAATGTTTTTCTATCTGTTATAAAGGTACCTGTATAAATTAGACTTTGTTAAATTTTTTTAATAATACTGATACAGATTAATACTTTTAGAATGATGAGTACATTCTAAATGGTAAAAATGCCTGCTATATTCAACTATTTTATATGGTCTCTCATGGTATGACTTAAAATAGAAAATAATTACAGGTGTGTATACCGTATCTCAGAGTCTAGATCAGAGAACTTAAGCAGCATGGCTAACCTATATTTTAAGTCAGTTTACAGCCAAGGAAGACATGCTAATGATGGAGTGTGTCGTGTTTTCCTTACTTTCTTAGGAAAATGCTTAGAAGGCAAATTGACCGGAAGAATTTCCATGAGTTAAAACTCGCTTTGTAGTGGAATACATGGTGGAGTTTGTGACTGTGCAAAATATTGCAGCAAGAGATGGCTTTAAAATTATAGTGGTTTGGCTCTGTCAGGAAAGGGAATGTTTCTGAGTGAGTTTTATTTTTTTAGAAAAATAGAGCTATACTACTTTGTGGTCCAGCCTAGACACAGCTTAATACCAAAACAAACAATAATCTTTGCTGACAAAGCGAAGATTACTTAAAGATTACTTATAAATTGTACTTAACGTGAGCTTTACCAGAAAAAAAGACATTCCAGTAGTAAACGTTACATCAGTGCTAGAGATGACAGGTAAGAGGGCAGTGAGTGGAACTTTTCTAGTCTAGATGAAGGTTGGCTGGATAAACTTGCTGCTGCTTTGAAAGAGTGAAATATATTGTATCACTGAACAAACTGGTCTGAGGCAGCACTTTGGCTCTGTTTTGGTTACAGTGTTTGGGAACAATGCGGGTGCTTCCTTTGCCAAAGCCAAGTGAAATTAAATGTCTGAAAGTACTTGCAGCTTTCATATGCATAAATGGAGAAATTACTTCATAACAGTATTGTTGATGAGGCTGTTGCTCTTGCTCAGTTTCCATAGTGCGAGAGGAGGGGGAGCCTGCTGGAGGAATTTACTTCTTTCCACCACTTAAGTTACTGAGGAAATGTTGTAGGTCATTGCTCCATGAACTATGGGAAAACAGGCACTGACAGAGTTTTTGACTGATTTTTAAGGCATGATTATGTTAATTTGCTTAAAAGCCTGAAGAGCTTATCCCATGATGTCGTTCTGTGTTTACCTGTATAACGCTGTTCTCATTTCTACAGTTAATTTTTGCAGTTAATTCTTTTACTTCCCTTTAATTTTGTTCTTCTGTATTGTCTTGATGCTGAAAGTGGATTCAGCTTTTTATACACTTTTTGGCAAAGTTCTGTGCATAGGTGAGTTTTAATTATTGTGCAGTTTTTAAAAAAAAAAGTGTATTATTCAAACATATTCTTCTGTGGCTGATAAATCATAATTACACTTCCAGAACTTCTTAAATAAATTCAGAATGTGGTTTCCTTGACGTAAGGAAAACAAGTGGTGGTGGGGTAACCACAAGTACAAGCTCACTTCATTGTCTACCTCAGTTGAATAATGCATTTAGCTTGAGGTATTTTGTTTCATGCAGCCTTCCAAGCTAGCAAAAAGAACAAAGTAATCAGCAAAAGCAGATCAATAGCAACTGCTCATTGACGAAACTATGCCATTTAATGCTAATTGATTTACTGCTCATTTCCTGTTAGAATTTCTCTGGCACTAATTGTTTCCAATGTCTTACCTGAGTCTCTGTTTCTGTTTAGATTGTATTAGTTTTGTTCAGCTCATTGTTTGAAGGTAAACAAATCCTCCTTCAAAATTAAGTATTTTTCTGTAGATCTATCACTGTAATTTAGAAGAATCTTAGAAATGTCTTTGTGAAAAGTGACATAAATATGAACAAAAATATTAGTTAAGAATAGTAGCATTAGTTGAGTCAGTAACATTAGGTGACTCATATATCTTTTTAGTGAGGCAAGAAGATTAGTAGGATGAAAGAAATAGACTTTTACATTTGACTGCTAAAGGTTTGGTTATCTCGTTGTGAATACGTGCCATAGATGCAGACATACCTGAGTTGTCTCAGTGCAAAGCCCTTGTAGGTCCAGCACAGTTCGTTAGCTTAGACCCAGTTGCTACTGGGTCTATAAAGTGGCAGTACTGCCTCCAGGCCTTGCTCAAGTTAGAGTAATTTGTTGCAGAAGCTCAGCTAGTAAATCTGAAAGTCTG